GTGCCCGCCATTGGAATTTGTGTGGGCCCTGCAAAAAGAGGAGGGGGAGAACGAGGGAAAGTGGGAGGAAGGGGCGGGGGAACGAAGGAAGAGAGAAAACGCCAGGAGAGAAGGAACGAAGAGGGGAGTGGTTGATGAGAGAGAGAGAGAGAGAGAGAGAGAGAGAAAGAGAAACAAAAGAGAGAGAAAGAGAGAGAGAGAGAGAAAGGCTGATAAGAGAGGTAGAGAACAAGAGAGAAAGAGAGAGAAAAAGAGGAAAGAGAGAGAGAGAGAGAGAGAGAGAGAAAAAACAATAAAGAAAAAGGAAGGGAGCCGGCAGGTGAGGGGAGGGAGAAGGGAGGAGGGAGAGGAGGGAGAGGGGATATGGCAGAGAGGCATAAGGATGAGGGAAGAGAGGAGGGAGAGAGAAGGGAGGAGAGGAGGGAGGAGGGAGAAGGGAGGAGGAGCAGGAAGGTAAGAGCGTGAACGTCCGAGGAAGTCCTAGGCGAAAGCGCCGTTCCTGAAGGAATTCTCGGGCGGGACTCCACGACGGGCGGGCGATCCCCCGACGGGTCGGGCGGGTGGGACATTCAAGCGGGATGCCTGAGTATGGCGAAAGCGCGATTACTAAGTAAATTGTGACGGCGTCCTTGGCGTAGCGTGTTTCCTGAGCGTCGAAAGCGCGATTTCTAAATCCGCCGACCCTGTCGGCGTGTGTGAGGGGCTTTTCCGTTCGAGCCGTCATCTCCGTCATTCTTTGTACTCGTCGTCTCTGTCCTTCCCTTTCCCTGGGACTCCTCTTCCCCTGGGCTCCAGCCAAGCCGACCTTGAGCAACCTCGTAATTGAGTCGAAGGGAAGCCCCTTCCCTTTGATCCCTCCCCCGCCGGGAGGGGGGGGGGGTAGGGGGGGGTACCGACCCCCCCCGGGTCAGATACGACGCCCCCCCCTGGGACTCCTCTTCCCCTGGGCTCCAGCCAAGCCGACCTTGAGCAACCTCGTAATTGAGTCGAAGGGAAGCCCCTTCCCTTTGATCCCTCCCCCGCCGGGAGGGGGGGGGGGTAGCGACCCCCCCCCCGGGTCAGATACGACGCCCCCCCCTGGGACTCCTCTTCCCCTGGGCTCCAGCCAAGCCGACCTTGAGCAACCTCGTAATTGAGTCGAAGGGAAGCCCCTTCCCTTTGATCCCTCCCCGCCGGGAGGGGGGGGGGGGGGGGTCAGATACGACGCCCCCCCCTGGGACTCCTCTTCCCCTGGGCTCCAGCCAAGCCGACCTTGAGCAACCTCGTAATTGAGTCGAAGGGAAGCCCCTTCCCTTTGATCCCTCCCCCGCCGGGAGGGGGGGGGGGTAGCGACCCCCCCCCGGGTCAGATACGACGCCCCCCCCTGGGACTCCTCTTCCCCTGGGCTCCAGCCAAGCCGACCTTGAGCAACCTCGTAATTGAGTCGAAGGGAAGCCCCTTCCCTTTGATCCCTCCCCCGCCGGGAGGCGAGGGGGGGGTAGCGGGGGGCGGTAGCGACCCCCCCCCCAGGTCAGATACGACGCCCCCCCCCCGTACCGACCTTGAGCAACGTCGTAATTGAGTCGAAGGGAAGCCCCTTCCCTTTCCCTTCCCCGCCGGGGGAGGGAGAGGGGGTCCCGGGGGGGGTCCCGGGGGAGTCCCGGGGAAGTCCCGGGTCAGATACGACACCTCCCTCCCCCACCTTCTCGTCCTTCTCCCCGTTCCCCAAAACCATCCCACAGCCCGTGCCTCTTGCTGCGCATTGCGAACAGGGTCGGCGGCACCGGCTGTCAGGCCTTCGCAATAAGTTGCACGGAAGTCACAGGCGAGAGCGCAATTCCGGAATCAAATGCGAAAGGTTCTCTGGCGGGAGCACGGGTCCTGATTAAATTGCGAGGAAGTCTTGACTCAATTGCGAGGAATTCTCAAGCGGGAGCGCCGTTCCAGAGTAAATTGCGAGGAAATCTCGGATGGGAGCGGGGGTCCTGAGTAAATTGCGAGGAAGTCACAAGCGGAAACACCGACCCTGAGTACATCGTGAGGAAGTCTCAGGGGCGGGGTTCCCGAGTAAATCTGGAGGAAGTCTCAGGCGGGAACCGCTGTTGCTGTAATCCAGGGGGCCAGGGGCCCAGTTTGAGCACAAGAGCGACAGCGAGAGCGAGAGCGGGGCCACGAAGGGCAGGAAGGGGGCCACAAAGGGCGACAGCGGGGCCACGAAGGGCATGCACATGGTGCCAGGAAGGGCGCGAACGAGCGGGGGCCACGAAGGCCAGATAATGCGGGGCCGCAGAGGACAACGACGGGGCCACTGAGGGTAGCAACGGGGCCACGTAGGGCAGCGAGGGGGCGACAGCGGGGCCATGAAGGGAATGCATATGGGGCCATGACGGGCGCGAACGAACGGGGGCCACGAAGGGCATACGTATATTGGGCCGCAGAGGGCAAGAACGGGGCCACGAGGGCAGATAGTGCGGGGCCACAAATGGCAACGACGCGGCCACTGAGGGACGCAGCGGGGCCACGTAGGGCAGCGAGGGGGCCACAAAGGGCGACAGCGGGGCCCCGAAGGGCATGCACATGGGGCCCCGACGGGCGCGAACGAGCGGGGGCCACGAATGGCATACATACATGGGGCCACGATGGGCAACGAGGGGGCCACGAAGGAAGGGCTGCAACGGGGCCGCGAAGGGCAGCGATGTGGCCACGAAGGGCTGCAACGAGGCCACGAAGGGCTGCAACGGGGCCATGAAGGGGGCTGCAACGGGGGCACGAAGGGCTGCAACGGGGCCACGAAGGGGGCTGCAACGGGGACACGAAGGGCAGCGAGGGGGCCACGAAGGGCTGCAACGGGGCCAAGGCTGCAACGGGGCCACGAAGGGCTGTAACGGGACCACGAAGGGCAGCGGGGGGGCCACGAAGGGCTGCAACGGGTCCACGAAGGGCTGCAACGGGGCCACGAAGGGGGCTGCAACGGGGACACGAAGGGCAGCGAGGGGGCCACGAAGGGCTGCAACGGGGCCAGGGCTGCAACGGGGCCACGAAGGGGGCTGCAACGGGGCCACGAAGGGGGCTGCAACGGGGGCACGAAGGGCTGCAAGTGGTTCACGAAGGGCAGCGAGGGGGCAACGAAGGGCAGCGAGGGGGCCACGCAGGGCTGCAACGGGTCCACGAAGGGCAGCGAGATCCCGATTCCTAAGTGAGCTGGGGTCCTAAGCGTGAGCGCGACGCCTGGGTGCCTGAATGTCGGGAGCGCAGAATTTGAGTAACTTGCGGGAAATTCCAACGCAAGGTCGCGATCCTTTAGTAAATTGCAAGCAAGTCTCCAGCGAGAGCGCGACACGGGACGCCGAGATAGCTTTCCCTTGATAAATAGGAGGAAGTCCCAAGCGAGAGAGCGAATCCTGAGTAACATGCGAGGAGGTCTCAGGCGGGAACGGGGGTCCTGGCTAAATTGTGAGGAAGTTTCAGGCAGGATCCGTTGTTGTTGCTGCTGTTGTTAGCGTTGTTAGTGTTGTTGCTGTTAGTGTTGTTGTTAGTGATGTTGTTGTTGTTGTTGTTGTTGTTGTTGTTGTTGTTGTTGTTGTTGTTTTAATCCGGGGGCCAACAACACAAATGGAACCCCGTGACTCTCCACGAAGAAGAACAGGGTTCGAGCCCCGGACTGGAGGGGGAGGATCAACACTGGTCACATGAGGGGGAGGGGGAGGATCAACTATGATTGTTCTTCAGTCGTGAGAACTCAAACCAGCAACAGCAGCAGCTACAGCAGCAACAACACCGATGACAACACAGATAACAACAAGAACATAACCAACACCAGCAACACAGCAACAGCAACAATAACAACGACAACAACACCACCATCACCAACGATAACAACAACACCAACAACAAAACCAACAACATCATGAACAACAACACCAACACCAACAACACCAGCAACAACAACAATCCGCACCGCAGGGCCTCACCTCAGCTACGCGCTCAGGACAATGCAGGACTGTTCTGCCCCCTCACCCTGACGATCCTGGGAAAACAGGAAAAAGATATGAGGTAGTGACGCGTGTTATGAGCCGTCCACATTGTTCCGATATTCATAATGCGTTCGGTGTGATGAATCAACGGGCCGGTTGGTGCTCGCGTGGTGGACTGGGGCGAGAAAGTCGGCTTTGATGTTTGGATGCGCCCCCATCGATGTGTCGACCCTACCTCCTGTCCGTTCTTACAGGTGGGGATGGGGAGGGATGCGGGCGGAGAGAGGGCACATGGCGGGAGGAAGGAGGGTGGTAGTGATGGATGGGGGAGGACAGTGGAGGAGGAGGATGCGGAGCAGGAGGGAGCACGAAACGCAGGACGAGAGACTGGAGGGACGAGGAGAATAGGGACGAGGAGGACGAGGCCGAGGCAGGGATGGGGAGGAGAGGAGACGGAGAGGCGCCGCCCCAAGCCGGCCTCAGGCCCTGGAAGCGCCCAGTCTCGGTTCTGCTCCCCGCTGGCAGTCCTCTCGCGCCTCGGCCAGGGTGTTCTGTCTGGCACGCGGGGCCCCGAATAGTACGACCAGTGCCTCCCCGGCCCTTCGCTCGCCTGAGCCCAGGTCAGCAAAAACAGCTGTTCCTGGACGGCAGACGTTCGCCACGAGACAGGCCACGACCAATGATACATCCCGCCCACAAGGAACAGGAGCTGTCGTCGGTCGTCGGTCGTCGTCCCCGTTTGCATCGTCCACCGACCCCCTTTCCCGGGAGGGAGATTGGGCGGGAGAATAGATAGCCACCGCCCCTGACCAGGCCCATCCTGGGCCCAAGAACGGTACATTCGACCCTCCCGAACTCGCTTAGGGAGAGACGACGACGTCGCTACTCCCCTCCCTCCTCCCTCCTCCCTCCTCCCTGACCTCGCCCGGGGCGCCCTCTGAGCAGCATCTGTGACTGGGATACTCCAGCCGCGGTGACGAGAGTAGGAGTAGGAGGGGGATGAGGAGGAGGATGAGGATGAGGATGAGGATGATGATGATGATGAGGAGGAGGAGGAGGAGGAGGAGGAGGAGGAGGAGAGCGAGGAGGAGGAGGAGGAGCAGGAGGAGGAGGTGGAGGAGGATGTCGTACCATTCGGGGCCCCGGGTGCAAGTCCCCAGAGGCGCGCGCGCGCAAGCCAGGCGCGCGTGCGCGCGCGAGCGCTTCACTCCGCCGCCAAAGTGAGCGGCACCCCCCAGCCTCCGACGGCTGGACACGCCTCAGGGGCGGAGGCGCAGGAGGGTGGAGGAGGGGAGACGATTGTAGGTAGGTCCCTCGCGCACGCCCAGGCAGGAGAACAATACAAAGCCACGGGCGGCGACGCACGAGGCCCCGGAGGACGAGGAGGGTTTGTTTCTTTGTCCACTCAACAAATGCCCTCTCAGCGATGGAACACAAAAGCAAGGCGGACGGAACCGACCTGGGCGGGCGGGCCTCGGCGGTGGCAGAACGCGGCAGACGTCGCCCGAAGAGCCAGGAAGGGACCAGGGCCCGCGGCCGAAGAGGACCGAACGCCGGCAGCCGAGTGCAGCACGCACGCGGAGAGCGCCCTCACAAGGCGGACTCCGGGCGCGAGGGAGGGCGCTCCCAGCTGCAAAACGCCCAGGGAGCGGCCCGAGGGGAAATGAACAGGAACAGGCAGGAGGCACCGGCCAAGAGGGCGAAGAGGAAGCACGAGGAGGGACAAACAGAGGAGCAAGGGCGGAGGATGAGGAGGCAACAGCTGCCGACGACGAGGACGGCCAGGGGGTGGCAGGAGGGGGGAGGAGGCAGAACAGGAGCAGGGGGCTCGAGTTAGAATCCACTCGCGCGTGGCAGCGGGTCCCCGCCCATTCCCCCTCCCCTCCACAGCGCAGCAGTACACCCTGCGAAATGCTTAAGAAATCATGGGTTAAGAAATTCATAGTCTCAGAACTTGAAATCTAACCCAACATTTCTATTCAAATCTTAGGAATTACATTGAAACGTTAAGAATAATCGAGACTCTGGCCGAAAACGTAAGCTTTCTTCAGCATCGCCCAGGGTGTACATTGCGGCACGACGGAGGCCAGTCCACAGGAAACCTTCCACCAGAGACCCCACCCCGAGACTCCAGGACGTCCACTGACTTTTGGCGCGGGAACGTAACGCCTTCCACGGCAAAACCATCGAGGCCCAAGAAACCTAGGGCACCCTGGGGGCAAACAGGGTGTTTCTTGGCATGGGCCCCCACTGCATTGGGGTGACAGGAGCGCATTCCCGTCCAGCGAGCTCAAGGCGTTCGGGGGTCATTCCCCATTCGAGGACTTGACGATGGGCAGACCGCGCGGGCCGCGCGGGGGCGGGAGCGGCAGAACTCCCGATGAGCGCGGCGAAGACGAACCATGCGAGATCGAATCTGCGCCCGGATGCACTAAAGCGTCGTGCAAACATCGGGCCGCATCGGACCGTCCGAACATGGGAATCGAATCGGATCGAGCAGGCTGGCAACGATATCGAATCGGATCGATCGGATCGCAGTGGGCCCTGAGCATGCGCCGCGCCGAAGCAGCACTGCCACGTTCTCTCACAAGCTGCGCGGCGCCCGTGCGAGTACAGAGCATCCTGAGCGGCTTGAATGCGATTCGACGAACGAAACATGCGCCTCGCGCTCGCGTGGGAACGCCACTTCCGAGTCCCATACCATCGTGTTGGCTCTTGCGAATCGGCGCAGGTCGACGCTGGTCGACGCTAACCGACGCTGAATCAACGCTAATTACATCGGCGCTATCTCATCGATTACCAGACCATACTCGACGCTATGAACTACGAGGGTACGTCAGGTTCGTGTCGTGCCGACTTCGGTGTTGGTTCCTGACACCGCGGGGATCGTTCAACCCTGAACGATCGGCCGTTTCCGAGACGTCCAAATCGTTCCACAACGAACGATTCTGGGTCGCCCGCGGCGTTCAACGTTGAACGCCGCTGGCGGGGTCGCCGCTGGTCGACACGACACGAACCAACCATATACTCATGTTGCTCCCATCGTACTTAAAGACCACATCCCAGAAATAATATCGAGCACCCGGGGAAGTGTCGATGTCGGGCGAATGTCTCCCAGGACCCGACACGTGAAAACCCGCGCGTTTCGGTCTTCTTCTTTGGTGCTCGACACTCTCCCTGGTGATCAAGGCTAAAGTAGGTTGGAACACCATCACCCCACAGAAGGCTCCCATGGCTTGTTGCCGCACACGGGGCTCGGGCGAGGGCGAGAAGCCGCCCCCTCCCGCGGGCGCCCCCCCCCAAGAGTGCACGGCGCCGAGGGCGGGAGCGCCGCCTCCGAAAGCGACGCCTGCGCGGCGCCGCAGAGGCGAGGCCCACGCTCCCGACCGCTCGCGCGCCTCGACGCCCTGGCGTTAAGCCGGGCCTGTCCCCGTACAGGCCGATTTTTGACGAAACATTAAAGAGATACCCAAGCAATGTCCTAAAAATGCTCGGAAGTGGTCAACAAAATAATCCCCTGACTATTTGTTTGACTATTTTTGAATTTCCCCCCTGTAGAGGGACAGGCCCGGCTCAACTCGGGAGCGGCCAAGAGGGGGGTGTCCAAGAGGGGGGGTGCAAATCATGACCGGCGGCACGTGCGCGGCCCAGCGGGGGGGCCAGGGACGTAATGAAATAGGAAGAGGCGCCATGAAATCTGGGGAAATATCATGGCCCGCGCCATGAAATCCAGCCCCCCCTAGTCATCACCCCCCTCTTTTCCGCTCCCGGCTCAACCCCGATCACCCAAACCATGTCCTAAAGATGCTCGGAAGTGGTCAACAAAAGCATCCCCGGATTATTTTTTTGACTACTTTTGAGCACTCCCCCCCTGTAGAGGGACAGGCCCGGCTCAAAAGGGGAGCGGCCAAGAGGGGGGTGTCCAAGAGGGGGGGGTGCAAATCATGACCGGCGGCATGTGCGCGGCCCAGCGGGGGGGCCAGGGACGTCATGAAATAGGAAGAGGCGCCATGAAATCTGGGGAAAAATCATGGCCCGCGCCACGAAATCCACCCCCCCCTAGTCATCACCCCCTCTTTGCCGCCCCCGACTATTGGGATCCGATGTAAGAGACCCAGAGTGTCCCTTTCCTGGCGCCTGTTTGTTATTCGCGACAACGATAACGGGCGTGATCGGGGGAGGGGGGGGGGGGCAAGCTAGGTGCGCTCGCGTCATATCTGACGTCCTACCCCTAGTCATCACCCCCCTCGGGGATCTTCTGACCCGGGTCAATCCAGACCCGGGTCGGCAGGAAACCAAAAACTGCAATGCAGGAAAAAAAGCTGCAACGCAGGCCTTCGCAAACCCGGGTCAGCCAATACGCGCGGCCGCCCCGCGGCCACGAGCGGCTCCCAAACCCGGGTCGGCCAGAGGGGGCCTTCGCAGGATGCTGCAGGATCTGGCGCACTGGCTGACCCCCGTTTGCATTGACCCCCGTCTCAATGCTCCCGACCCCCCTCTGTTCCGCTCCCGGCTCAACCCCGGCCTGCGAGGCGACGTGCGCCGCGCCCGGGCGGGAGCTCGAGTCGCCGGACGGGGGGGAGCGCGCGCCGAGGCGGGGGGCGGCCCGCTCGCGCCGGGCGTGCGCCCCGTGCCACTCCCGCCACGCCTCTCCTCCTCCTCCACCTCTCCTCCACCTCCTCCTCCTCCTCCTTCCTCCTCCTCCTCCTCCTCCTCCTCCTCCTCCTCCTCCTCCCTCCTTCCTCCTCCTCCTCCTCCTCCTCCTCCTCCTCCTCCTCCTCCTCCTCCTCCTCCTCCTGGGGTGATCCCCAGGGCGCGTGTTGGCCCCAGCGTGTGCTCGTCAAGGGCTCCCAACTTCGCGCTCTCGCGCTGCGCGGAGCGCCAAGTGCGAACAACTTCGCGCTCTCTCGCGCCGCCTCCCAGGGGAGAAGAGGAGGTCGGGGAGGAATCGGAGCCGAACCGCGAAGCGCGAATAACTCTGCGCCCTCGAGGGCGCCCGTGCTTTCGGTGATCCTCAGAGCGTGTGTTGGCCCCAGCGTGTGCTTGTCCATCGAGGCCCTTCGACACGACCCAGGCGATGTAATGATCTGCTTGCTGATTGGGCTGAAGGGGGTAACACAAACACACACACATTGGGCTACCACACGTCCTGAGGATCATCGACTCTTGCAACGTCGGCGACAGAATCTCCATGTCGAGGACAAACACGTCGACTTGGTGTGGGTACTTTTCCAGGCGGGATGGGAGGTCCCAGATCCAGGGGCTATTGGCCAGCCGAATGGCATAGTCGGAGCATGCAAATGAGGAACAAGACTGGGAGGGGAGGATAGGAGAGAACAAGGAAGCAAACGAAACGACATTCCAAGCCCTCGGTCTTTTCATAGGCCCCCAGGAGGCCCCAGTAGACCCCCAAGAGGCCCCAACAGGCCCCCAGGAGGCCCTCGGGAGACCCCTGGGGAGACCACGACCGCGCTGGCAAGCGCCAGCGATGGCATAATACGGGCCGGCAAGATGAGCGAAGAGATGAAATGAGACTGGGGAGGAGTGGAATGGAGAGGACACGCAAAAGGTAGGATGGAGGAGGGGGAGGAGGAGGAGGAGGAGGAGGAGGAGGAGGAGGAAGAGGAGGAGTTGGAGGACGAGGAGGAGGAGGAAAGGGAGGAGTTGGATGGGGAGGAGGGGTAGAGGGACTGGGAGGACTCTTGCGTATCGTCTTCCGTTTCCTCGTTCGCCCTGCCGCCGTGCAGGGCACCAGTCGACGTCCCTCACGGCCTGCCCTCATCCTCCACAACCACCCAGTGTGAATCCTGCACTCCTTCGGTGGCAACTCATGGGAGCCTCCCATACCACCGTCTCGGCTCTGGCGGATTGACGCGAATCGACGCTAGTCGACGCTAACCGACGCTAAGTCGATGCTAATCGACGCTAGCCGACGCTCAATCGGCGCTATCTCATCGACTCCCAGACGCTAGTCGACGCAAATCGACGCTAAGGACGGAATTGCGAGGGTATACGCCAGGCTCCCATGCTTTGCTACCGATGCACTCCTCGCTCCCTGGGTTCCAGTGCGAGCGGGGCGCCGTCTGGTGGCTTCTGTGATCGGGATTCATGGCAGTATCGTTGATGCGTCTTGCACCTACTTTGGTCCTCCTCCTTCCAAGTTTCCTCAACGAATTCGCTCTAAGCTGGTCCCCCAGACCCATCCCAAGGTCCAGCCTGGTCAATTCTTCGAGCTGCTTCGATGCTTCTGTCATTGCTGTCCCCCGCAGCAGCGTCTGCCGCACTTTAGGGGTCGGCACTCTGCTCCCCTCCATCTCAGTGGCGCTCATGCCCCAGTGCGGCCCGCGACTCAAGATCCGAACCTCTCCTCGTCGTCGTCGCCTCCCTCCTTCCCCTCCTCCGCTTTCCCCTGGTCCTGTTGCTCCTCCCGCTCCTCGTTCTCCTGCTACTCCCCCCCCCTCCCCCTCCACCTCCTCGTCCTCCTCCTCCTCCTCCACCTCCTCCACCCCTCCTCCTCCCCCTCCTCCTCCCCCTCCTCCTCCACCTCCTCCTCCACCTCCCCCTCCTCCTCCCCCTCCCTCCTCCTCCTCCTCCTCCATCTCCTCCACCTCCCCCTCCTCCTCCCCCTCCTCCCTCCTCCTCCTCCATCTCCTCCTCCCCCAGCTCATCCGCAGCCTCCTCCTCCAGTGTGCGCAGCTTCCCTGGGCGCATGCGCACGACACGATCGGGTGGGTCATTTGGGGGGCTCCGGGTCTGATGCGACGCCCGTCGGCGCATGGAGAGCCAATCAGCGCAATGGACGGGTGGAACGGGTAAGATGTCAAGTGCAGCGCGAACTCAACTAGCTTGTCCTCCTTCCCCTCTCCCTCTCTCCCTCCCTCCCTCCCCTCCCCTCCCCTCCCCTCCTCCTCCTCCTCCTCCTCCCTCCTCCTGATCCTCCTCCTCCCCTCCTCCTCCTCCTCCTCCTCCTCCTCCTCCCTCCTCCCCTCCTCCTTTCCTCCTCCCTCCTCTTCCTCCTCCTCCTCCTCCTCCGCCTCCTCCTCCTCCGCCTTCGCCTCCTCCTCCCACTCCTCCCTCTTCCGTCTCTTTTCCATACAAGTAACTCATCCATGTCGAACTCCCAGGCGTTTCGGTAGGGTGGCCCGGGCGTTTCGCCTGAGACTTGCCGACCACTTATGACCCTAACGCTTGAAATGGTAACATTCTCAAGGATAGAGGGCGGATGGTTCTCAACATGTGGGTCTCGCCTTGGCGCCGCGCGCCTTCGTCTTCAACGTTCGCAACAACTTCAAGGATGGAGGGCGGCTGTGTTTCCACATGTGGCTCTCGCCTTTGCACCGCGCACCTTCGTAGTAGACCTTCGCAACAATTTCAAACACGGAAGCCGGGTCCTCTTCGAATGTGGCTCTCGCCTTAGCGCCGCGGACATTCGTCTTAACACTATGCAGTCGCTGCAAGGAATCGTATGGTTCGCAAATCCAAGGAATGGCTGTCTGGCACGATTTAGGAATGCAAGGCCGCAGCAGTCACGTTGATTCGCGGTGTTGAAGTCCCAGGGGTGGTGTTCTGGTGGCATTTAGGACTGTCAGGACGCAACAATCATGTAGAGTCACGGCGTTGAAGTCAGAGGATATGTGCTCTGGCGCGATTGAAATTTCTCAGACGGTTATCTTCCAATGGGGTACTTCCTTCCCGCAATAAAGATACATGCTTGTAGGGACCTGCGAAGAGGGAGCTTGGAGGGATGGGGGTTCATAGCAACATCGTTGATGCGCCTTGGATGCACCGTGGTCCTCCTCCTCCTTCCGATGATCCTCCACGAGTTCGCTCCAAGCAAGCTGGTCCCCAAGCCCTTCTTCGAGCTGCGTCCAGCCGTGGTCACGAGGTCACCCCAGGAGGCCCAGAAGAGGGCGGACAAAAATCAGACACCTCCTCCTTCCTCGTCCCTCGCCCTCCCCGAATCCCATCAGTTCCCGGCGCCCCTCGCCCCCCTTCCAGATTTCCCCCCGCTCCTCCCCCCCGCACCGCTCCTCATCCTCCACGGCCTCGCCAGCCCTCTGAGGCGGGCCAGAGACAAGCAGGGGCCCAGGCGTGCGAGGGGCGTCGGGCGCAGAAAGGAGGAACACACCCCAGGAAGGGCCTGGAGGGGGAACAAACAAATAGCACGAACATCACGAAACAAAATCAGAAATAGACAAACATCGCCCCAGACTATGTTTATACTATTCTTGGATTTTCCTCCTGTAGAGGGACATGCCCGACTTAAACCTAACTTCGCGCATGACGCATCGCGCCCCACGGTGCGCGGCTCTCTTCGCGCCCTCGCGCCCCCGCACCGCCCCCTTGGAGAAGGGCAGCCGCTCTGGCCCAGCCCGCGGCGCGCGATCATCTTTGCGCCCCCACGGATACTCTGGAGATGCCGCCGGCGAGGGATGTCTGGGCAGAATCCGCTCGGAAGTCCCGACCCTTCCCCTGGGGCCACCCTTGCATCCTGAGCAATTTCTGAATCTCAGGGCTGGCGAGGGCCCCTTTCTTCCTCCTCCTCTT